TCAAATTCATAGCACGTATTATGGCTCCTCTATTAGAAAACAAAGCCATCTACGAATGTCCAAAATTGCACCATTCACACACAGTCCTGTCAAGCAACTGCCTGACTTCGGCCTCTGGGAAGGAGAAACCTGAGAATCCGAAATGGTTTCTGCCGCACAGGTCCCACTGGGCATGTAATTCCACCAGGAATTCAGATCCTGGGTGGACAATGAGAATTGGGCCTCAGTCTCTACTTTGGGCAAAACTGTTCCCAGGGAAAGGACTGTCGTTGAGATTCACAGTGACCATCTAAGTGGGGCTGGGGGTGGGTGGGGAGGCAGTGTTAGGAACTACCAAACTGACTGTTCATCAGGCTGTAGTGAAGCTAGATGTCACAACTGTGAAAGAAAGTGCTAGCACGGGTGGGGTCAGTTTTCAGGGGTTCCCAGATGGCTGGCCATGGGGCTCTGGGACAGGTGCTGAGGCCCAGCTCTCCTCACAAGCACTCAGCACCAGGCTATCCGCTGGGCACTTAAACCAGTGTGCAGAACAGGGACGGAGAGACCTCACACCCCACGTGAAAGGCTCTGGGACCTTAGAGCAACCTAGCCAGACCCTGTCTCAAAACGAAAAATTAAAAAGGGCTGGGAACATAGCTCACAGTGTGAAGGCCCTGGGTTCAGTCCCCAGTACCACAAAAAAAAAAAAAAAAAAAAAAAGAAAGAAAGAAAAAAGAAAGTAGGAAATATGAATTCAAGTGCCCAGTTGTAATACTCCTAGAAGATGCTAATACAAATTTGAAATATGAAAGAATAAGTATTTATCGATCAGACTCAGAATCTCAGAGTTTAAAAGGAATTTACTGTCCCTTAGTGGAATGTCCTCCCCTCAGACTCAGAAAGAAGTTAAGGGAATGCATTAGAGTCACAGAACTAAACACAGTAAGGGCATGGAACACAGGTCTGCACAGCACATGTCTGGAGCTCCTTTTCCTATAGAACACAGTAAGATAGTAGTAAGCAATGCATATTTTACAGCTATGCATGAGACTCAAGATATTTTCAGGAGAAAAAAAAAAACAACAACCCTGATGTTGGTTTCTCTCCTGTGTACGAACACTAACCAGATCAACCCCAGACATGTAAACGCCTCAGACTGCTCTATCTGTCGGGGTCACGATCCACAATCTTACTTGTTTAAATCTCGAGGTTGGGTCTACACCTGTCTGCTTCATAGAGTCCATGACAGATTTCATTTCTACAGCCTCCTTAATAAGCTGGTGGTTTTCCATCTGCTTAGCTTTGAAGCTGTCGGCCTGAAGCTGCTGCTGGTGATTGGAGAGAAGCTGCGATTTACCTGTCTCCTCAGTTTTATTAGGCACTGACGGCCCTAGTTTAGAATGGTTTTTGTTAGGTTCTGGAGCAGAGGGAGCTTTGGAGACTGTGGCCGGCGGCGCGGCTTTCTGTTTACTGTCCTCCTTAGCCAGCTCTTTCAAGGGGAGCTCCGCTTTCCGCTCACAGTCTCCTCTCCCGGCCTGGGCCATTTTCTGCTCGGCCAGCCTCTGGTCCTCGTAGTATTTTTCATACTGCTGTCTGTAGGCTGGGCTGGTGGCCATCAGTGACTTCTGGTCCATATAGAGTCCATAGGCATACTGGCCATAGTAAAGGGACTGGGCCAGGGCAGGGTGCCTCTGTGTGATCACTGACTGGTGCTGCGGCTGCAGGGACATGGCATTATGGTCCACTTTCTTAGACTCCAACTGCTCGGCCTTGTCTTTTTTTTCTGCATCTTCCTCAGACTCCTTCTTGATCTTCATGGACTGCAAGCTCCCACTGTTCCCCACTGCAGGGCCAGCGACCTGCCCAGGGTGCAGGTAACTGGGCGAGTAATAGGGGTCGTAGCCATGGTAATAGGGGGAATGCGACTCTTTCAGTTGAGACGATGGCGCTGCAGAGGAGGAATGCCCTTTTACAATGCCATCCTTGCCACAAACAGTGTCTGATGGGGAGCTGGCCTTTGACCTCATGCCCTCTGACCTGCTGTCAGAACCACCATCGTCTGCAGCATCAGAAATGTCTGAGTAGGCTGGGCTGCTGGTCTTGGCCGCTGAGCTCTCGGTGCCATTCGGGGTCAGCACGTGCAGCGGCACCATGGGGGCCTGCCCGTTCACCAGGGGGCTGCACTCCATCCTCGAGGCACTCCCTATGGACGGGCTGGGGGCGTTGTCCGTGAAAGTGTAGACCTTATCGGCCTCAGCTTTGATGCTGGCCATGCGGCTCTCCTGAGACTCCGAGAGCCCGTTGGTCAGCCCCTCGTTCTTGCTAAGATGATCCTTTAAAAAATGCCCAGGGAGATCTTTGCCAGTCCCCTTGGAGTCTTCGAGCTTCCCCAGCTTAGCATCCATTTTCGGGCTTCCTGTGTCCTTCCCCTCTTTGTCCTTGAGCTTTCTCTTCTCCTTTTTCTTTTTGTCTTTGAGGGACACCAGGGCTGGGTTCACGGTGATGGGCTCTCCCATGATTGTGGGCTTTGGCTGGATGGGTTTCAGCGGGGGGCTCTTTGGAGTGGCCTGGACCACAGTTGTCGTAAGGGAGGGCAGGCCAGGTATCGTCCCCGTGGTGGTGGTTGTGAAGGCCGCAGTAGGTATAGCAATCAGCTGTGGGGGTGTTGGGGCTGGGGCAGGGGCAATGGGCCGGGCACTTTTTAGTTTGGAGAGGTTTTTGTCCATTTTGCAATTGTTGGCTTTTCTGCCCTTTTCCTTGTCGCCTAGATTTTTCTTATCAATCAGCCCTTCTGCTTCCAGTTTGGGCATTTCAGTAGCCAGACTGCCATCCACTGCTGAGCACCCATCTGAGGTGGCTGTCATGTGGGAGATGACAGGAAGGTTGCTCAGTTCACTGTTGAGCCCTTTCTTTTTGCCAGAATTCTTCCCAGCTTTGGAACCCATGAGAGACCCTGGGCCATTGCTCATCAACTCTCTTTTTCCCTTGGGAGTCCCAGGGGCCCCAGGGGACATCGGTGCCTTTGCCTGGTCGTAAGCAGACACACTTGTGCTTGGCTCACTGCATTCAAGGGCCACACTGCTCAAGGCTTCCTCACAGTCTGAGATCTTGTCCTCACTGTCAGGCTCGAACTCCAGCTTGCTTTCTGGATCTAAGTGTGCGTGAGCCTGGTGGTACCTTAGGCCATTAATGTGCTTGTACTTTTTGTTGCAGTTTGGGTGAGGACAATCGATTAACACTGGAGAGGAGCAGCCTTGGTCCAAAAAAGGAGTCTCTGGCTTCCCCTGGGGGGTGGTAGGAGTGCTTCTGGAATTTGTGCGGACACGTTTCCCAGGCTTACTGTCCTCAGAGCTGGAGTTCAGGTCCAGCTCCATGGGAGGCTTGTTCTTCCTCTTATTGGTGGAGGAAGGACTGGCTTTGATATCTTCCACAGCACAATTTGGGGGTGTCCTTCGCCCACTGGCATTGAGGCTGCCCCGCCGCCCCTTCCCATTGGCCCCGCCTCTGTTCTTGCTCTGAAGCCCTCTGGACTCCGTGAAGGTGGCCTCTGAGCCCGGGGCGGCCGCCGCAGACCTTGCTCTCTTCCCTCGGCCCCGGCCCCCTCTCATCTCCAGGTCACTCGTCGGAGACTCACAAAACCTAGGAAAGCAAGAACAGGTGTCAAACCAAGCGGCTCCACAAGAATTAGATGCAATCACAAGGTACATAATGCAGCAAAGAGGAGTCAACACTTTGGTAGCTTGAGGGAAAAAATCACTTTACTTTTCCATTGACAAGTTCAGCATCTGCAACAGAACAGGCTACCAATGGCTTACACTCTGCCTCAAAAAATCAAAGAAACACAGCTCAGACAGCTGGCTTCCAATTCAGTTCAAATTCCCACTATGAGAAAAGAAGAAAACAAAGGGGAGAGAGGGAAGGGATGGGGAGCAGAGATCTCCTGACAGGAAAGAAGCCAGCATCTGCACTTTGCTGTGTGCTCAATGCTGAACTACTCATTTCTCTTTTGCCTGGTTTCAATTACAAGCAGACTTTTATGTATTATTAATCTGTTCTCTAGTTTCCTTGCAAAGGCAGCACCGGGGCAGGAGGAGGAGGAGGAGAGAAATAAAAGACCCGGGCATACCTGGGAGGGGCCCAGTCGTGCTTGGTGCAGTCCAGGAGCGTCCCCACGTAAGTCTTGTTCCTCCACGTGACATTGACAACTAGAACACCTGCAGGGAGGAAAGGATGAAAGGGGACCACATTTAACACCAGTGACTTTATTTCTACTTTATCGATTGTCACTATTTTTATCAGCCAAATTCTATTCTCATTTGCTTTCAAAGGCTGTGGTTTGCAGCCTTCCTCTTTCTGGTTTCGGTGACCTCAAGTTCAAACCCACAGGAAATGACATGTGTGTCTCCGTGCGCACACCCATGTGGCACAGGAGGGTGAGGCTGAGACTGTAATCAAGATACTGCTGACAGAAGGAAATGGTTTTTGCCATGTCCTGCTATAAAACAGCAACACTCACCTCTTAATTTTTCTATTATTACACATAATTGCTTTCATTTGGCAAGCAGCCAACATAAACTAAGCGCCAGTTACCAGTGCTTAACCCAGAAGGTGACTGAAAAGAATTGGTTTTGTTTCCAATTCGACAACGTAAAATAATGGTTATTTTTTATTAAGAAAAAAATTGTGTAAGTGTGTAAAAATAGGAACGGAACAGAGGAGAAAATGGAGACTCAAGAGTCCAGGGAGCTGACAATCTGCTCGATTTCTCCTTCCTAATCCTGCCCTCCTTGACTCTGTGAGACAATAATCAGCCTGGTGCTGTGTCTCTTTCACTGTTTGGTCTTGTTTCACTGTTAAGAACTCCTAAAATAGCCCTCTTAAGAAAATAAATGTGCACAATAGATTTGCTGTTGGGGTTATCTTTAGAATCAACTTTGGTAAGCATTCGCCACAGAGGATTAACAAAGAAATCTCAAAACCAACACACTTATTTCCTGCAAGCTATTCTGCTTTTCCCCACTGCTTGCAGACAGACAATTTAATTTAGCACTGCATCTGTGAATTACTAAACTTAAGTGCACTTAGTACAACAAATGGCACCGAGAAACAAAACATTGTCTTTATTTCTCTGGAGGATAAGTGCCACTTTTAAAAAATTACTTCTTTAAAATATGTTTTTAAAAAACCTAGAGCTTAAGACATATATAAAATATTAGGGCAAATACATGAAAGACTTCTGTGAGTCTTTGTTTCCTTTTCTGCAGTCGCCCTCACCTATTCTTGCTTGGAAACACTAGCAGACATGACTCAAAGTCTGTTTCCAGCTGGTGTGTTCACTTCTACTACTGCTGCTGCCATTTTGAATTTGCAGAAAACCCGAGCTGAGCTCCCGTACGATAAGGGAAACCTCACAAGGGTAAGACTCATTTCCTTGAGACCCTTCTAACAGCAGGTAAAATATTTGAATGGTTGGGACTTTAGCGAAGAAGGAAGATTTTCTTTCACGAGTCTCCAAAGGGGGTTTAAAATTGTTTCCCATATGGTCCGTGTTGTTATTACTTACGTGACAGCTGAATTTACTCACTGTAAATTCAGCCTATTGTAGCAATCGTCTAGCACGGAAAGAAAAGCTAGGACGAAGCAAAGCAAGTCTTTTTCTCAAATCGCATGTCTTTTCTCAAATAGTGGCTCAGTCCTTCGTAATTCCCTCAGGAATTTTTTTCCCCCTTGTTGAGTATAAGAAACTCATTTTGCAATGCGAGGCAGTGGTAATTAGGCATTTGGTCAAAATGTGCACAAGAAAGAACAACTGGAGGAAAGGATTCTTTATGAGCACACCCCTTCAGGAAAGGGGGGGGGGGGAGCAAAAGAGAGGAAGGGGACGGTTGAGCTGCTTTTCTCATCATCTGCTCTCTGGGGCTCTGTGTGTGGTGTCAAAGACCTTTGCAGCTGCTTAAAATTCTTGAGCATGTCAGCTATATTTACAGTGCAGGAATATATCTGTATTGCCAGAAGGTTACTGCATTTCAGCTTTAGATGCAATGGGCTGAATCACTGCGTTCCAGAGCCCCTGATGTAGCACAAATGTATAATTAAAATTGCTTGAAAGGAAACATGAAAGAAACAACAAACCTTCCATTCTTGCAGTAATAAAATTAAAAACAGGAAAAGTCTGCACAGACACTTAACATTTGTCTGCAGTGAAAGGCTTTTGTTATTGCTTTTCCCCTAAGGGTTTCGCGTTTCCAGCGAAGGCTGGACGCGGATTGGCCAGAGCTGGCTGCCAACTCTCGATTCTGATTGGCTGGCGGAGGGCAGCCGGTGGGAGCTTGGAGCCGCCGCTGGGGAGGCAGCGGCTCGGGCGGGATCTGCGGGGTCCCCGGGTGGGTTCACTCAGGCCTCGTCCGCCAGGCTTCTCCGCCGCTACGAACGCCCCCTCGGGCCAGACCGGACCGTCCCTCTGCACCTGCAGACTGAAGATCTGAGCACAGTGTGGGCACCGCTGTGTGGTGGCTGGGAAAGAGAAACCTACAGGAAAGCTTGTGTCAGCACCCTGGGCCCACAGCGGGTCACCCCTGCTTCTCCAAAGGAGTCTAAAAGGTGTTGAAGGTGCTCCAGACAGGCGCTCCCCTCGAGGGGGATTCCGGAAAGCCGAGCCACGCGTGCTGGTGGCTGGCTTTCTCTCCCGTGCAAGAGGTGCACAAGGCCACGAGGTTGCACTCACGTGTGCACACACAGGACCCACCATGAAGAGTGCGTGCGAAGGTGGTGTCCAGCTCCACAGCAGGAGCACGGAGAATCCTTTCGCAGAAATCTCAAGTGGTGAACATTTTGTAACCTACGACCTTACAAAGTGCACTATCCTGACTTAAAGGCGTAAATAAATGCTCAAGATGAAAGTCATCTCTCTAAAAGTACAAACATGAATTGTACAAATCTAGGCAGAGAGCTGTATTTCTTACATGAATTAGAAATACACTAATACTCCTATTTCCAAAGACGTTCACTCTTCCAAACTTCTTGCCTGTGAGTGAGGTCTCAGCGCACTGAAGTCCATTTTCTCTTTGCCTTCTCAAACTGCTGCATAAGTTGATGCCCCCACCCCACCTCACCCTTTTGCACAATGAACTGGACATGCTCTTTCTGTAAGAGCTAATGCCTGTACTGTAACATTTTATACTTGGAAAAAACCCAAGTCTTATTACTAGTAAAGGAAGAGCACAGAGGAAACGCTGGTGAGATAATCTTGGGGTATGACACTACACTGATTTTCTTTGTGTTGTTGACAGTTTATCTCAGATACTGGAGCAGCACATAAGCAGCTGCTCCCAAAGGCATATTATCTACAGGGCATTTACTATGAACAAGGTGTTTATTATATAACATAAGGCCCTTGTCTCTACAGGTCAAAAACCCTGAGATCTCAGAAGGATTCCAGTGCTGTTTCCCAGAGGACGGCCTGTTGAGTATTCACTGTATCTATGCACTATGCATTAGAGAGCTGTTTGGTGCCACTGAACCAAGCACATTTTGGCTAGGACTCTGACCACACTCTGTATTTCAAGACTGTACTCTTAGAACCAACACAGGCGTACATGTCATCCTAAAGTGGAAATATACTTCTGCATATTGCCTGCATTTACAGAGCAGGCCCTTCACCTGTCACATGAGACTAGAGCCTAAGTGTGCAACACTGGAGTGTGTCCTCAGATTCACTTCCTGCTTGGAAGGCAGCCTTCGGTGTCCAGGTCTCAGTAACCTTGGCCCACTGGAGTGGAACCGTGGCGGGCACCAGGTGACTGAGAGGCAAAGAGGATGGTGACGGGCCAAAGCCTTGGATGCCAGGGTGATGACAGAGGAAGCCAGCTGAAGGTGCAAAGCCATCAGCACTTCTGGCCTTAGTGCTGACAAAGGATGTTACCAGCACCCACCCAGACTGCCTCGCTCTTTCCCAGTCATCTTATAAAAAGGTGCTCCTTGCATTAACTTAAAATCTGTCTTTGAATATCTTGCTCCTTCCTGGGCCTCTGTAGCCTACGGGAAAACAGCCCATCTATCCTCCACCATTCATCCGGCAAGGAAAAGCCATGTGAGCATTCATTTCCCTTATTACCATCCTTCTTTCTATCCATCCTCCCTTCTTTTTTTTTCTTCCTTTTCTTCCTCCCTTCCTGGTCACTCTCTCCTTCTTCCCTCCATCCTAGACAAGTGTCTTCAGCTAGTCTTCATGTTATGATTTTAACTGTTCTGCATGAAACTTTAAATAAGGTTCTTTAATCCAAAGTCATAAGGAAAGCTAAAGTTTCTAATAAATTAGGACCAGAGGCAAATTCCAGTGTTTCCCCATGTGTCTTCTCTCCCTGGTCACACATATGTTGTGTGTACCACTCCACAAATGGCTGTTCTATCCTGGGTCCCAACTGGATTCCACGCACCTCCCACCAAAGGCTACTCTCAAGAGCTCATTTCCCTCTTCTTTCTGAGTCTGCAGGTGGACTGTCCCAGCCTTCGTAGCAGTGGCCTCTGTATTCTACCAGAGGAAACTGAGTGAAGGCACATGGGCCTGGCCATAAGATCTCTGCAGCAGGTCTAGTCTGTTCCCCTTTGTGGCTCACTGTAATGGAAAGGACGACACTGACCTTAAAGGCTACACACTGAAGTGAGGTGGTTCCTTCATCTGGGACTCTGAATGGTGAGGAGATGCTCCACTCGCCAGAAATATCCAGCTCAGTCTGTCAAGTGAGCAACAAAAACTCGCATGTTTGAACATGCTTAAGTCTATTTCTCCTCCCCTAATACTTGGACCTTTAACATCTCACTCCATGCCTGTTATCAGTGAATGTGTCTCTTCCAACAACCTTTAAACATGGGCAGTGTCTGCACGCCCTCCAGCCCCTAAGAAGACACTTCCCAGCTCACAGTGGGCATTCACTGAACACATAGGAAATAACCAGAATCTAAACCGAATCCTCCTCCGTGACTTTTATGCACTCTTACCATATTTTTTCAATAAGTATAATCTCTCCCTAGCTTATAGATGATGCACATTCTCTGTGGGGGAAATTTTACTCCAAAGATGTTATAAATGTGGCTTATGAATTATTATTTCTGGTATTTGTGAAGCCGTTTCCTCAAGAACTGGGCAAATGCCTGATTTCCCAGAGGATCAGCATAACTCTGTTTATATTACCGTTTAAAGACTGTCTTGGAGTCTTTAAAGTAGCTCATCTCTGGGACAGAAGTCTTTGCCGGGCCTTGCAAATGTGGAATTTGGAGCTAGGCAGAAGTGTTTTTGAACTGGTACTCAGACCACCACATCTGGATGGACTTGGTGTGCACTCAGGCAGAAAACAGAAACCTCATTCTAATAATAGCAACTTGTAACCCATTTATGCCATAATCCGTCTTTTCAAACTCTGCACATTTCTTCATTTTCATACATTCTTTCTAGTGAAATGTAAGTGATAACAGGAAGGCCCCACACAATATGCTGATTTCCTGACACAGGTCAAGATCCCATATTTCGGGTTTCATCTCGCCTTATACTTTATACAATATAACTATTGCACAAAGTATGATTTATAATCATTCCCTTGTTCAAAACTCCCCCTGCTAATGTTCTGTTGTGTTGTATTCAATACTGGTGCTTTTCTTGATGCTGAAAATGATGTAATATCTCTATTCTTTGTTTTATAGCTTCAGCCTTCATACAGGTACTTTTTCAGAGGACAAAGCTGAGTTTATAATTATCTGGACAATTTTACATTTACAACTAAGGTTGCCCATCAAATACATGCCAGCCAAAAAGCAGAGGTACCTTCCTGCACCAAGTCTACACGAAGCACTAGGGTAAGAAAAGTAAGTGCCGTCACGTGACCATAAAACCAGTATTTTTTAAAAGAGCCCTACTGCTGGGCTGAATGTTTTAATGTTTTAAGAGTCACTTTAACCACATCCTGTAATCAAACCATCTGGAACACAGTGCTGCGATTAGTCACCCTGAACATTGGGCTTTATCTGAACAAATAGTGTATGGCAGTAGAGCTACGAGATAGGGCAGTACCAACAAAAGGAAATGTAACGTAACACTTCATGCCCTAGTGTGCTGCCACCCCAGCCATAAACCCCATACTGTCCTGGTGTTAACTACTACTATATAAAAACACCGTGAGCTTAAAGATTAAAGGACTAGGGCTAATGACTGCTGTTTGGATAGCTCTTCTCCCTCAGTGGCAGGAATATGTTGGCATCACCCTATCTATGTTAATCGTGACCTCTCCAAAGGCAGCCCGGCATTCCATTTAGGGTTTGGTCACTGGGAATGGGTTCATTTATGGGGTGGGAGTAATATCAGTTGTGATTTTTTGTAAGAGGTTAATCTTAATTAACATTCTTTGAGATTCATCCAGACACCATCTATAAATAACAAGAAAAAAAAAAATGAAACCTTAACCAAAACAAGCAAGCAAACAAACAAACAAACACAAAAGACAAAATGCTATTTTCATCTACATTTTAAAAGATGGTATTTCCTTCCTAGATAGAGTTTATCTCTTTTGGAGGTATACTTGAGCATCAACATAAACTATGGAGATCTTTTTTTAAAAATCTAAAAGAACCCTCACCCCCTTAAAAAGACACAGCTAAGAGAAACCTTGTTTCCCCATGGGGCTTATGGTTTAATACACAAAAGAACACACAGTCACTTCCATCACTGTCACCTCGCCTGCAGCCTTTGTTCTGAGGCCTGATGAGCTGTATTGATTTGGATAAATCATTGAGCTTCTTGGAAAACTAGACTCCCGCTTATTCACTGCCATCTATTTCTTTCCCACGAAGACAGGTGGTCAATATCTAGTTGACTGGTCAGCTAAAAGAAGCTCTCGCTGCTTTTCTTTCCCCGCTTGCCTAGTAACGCCATCCTTTCCCACTTCTAAAAAACACAATGGCCTGTTAAGAAGTCTAGTGGGGAAGAAGAGAGGCAGAGGCAAGGCTTTTGTCAGGCACCACCGGGGACACTAAATGCTGTCCTACACATTTGCATGGGTGCCTGTCCCACGCATGAAGATGGTGACAGGGTATTCAGTGACCAAGTATCACTCTTGTCTAAACATAAACGAAAACCCTGATAGTCAACGTAAAACTTCCAAAAATGTAAGCTTCATCACTCTCGAGCAATTAATGTTTTGTCAAGAAAGAGGCTTTGCTTCTCCTAAACAATCAGATTCTGTTCTAACAAAAGTGGTTGTAGTTACAAAATATAATAGGTGTCATTATAGACATTTTAGTTCACAAAAAACTGTGGGGAGAAAAAAAAATCACAAGATCTTTAGAGAGAAATTTAAATGTGATCAGTAACAAAAGCATTTGCTTTGAGGTTAGGCAGACACACATATCTTACAGTAACACTACTCTGGATGGTCTGAGCCAATTTGAGAGTATATACCTACACATACACCATTCACACCAGAGTATGTACTCTTGGGCAGTTCCTCTAACAGTTTCTGCAAGGGTGCTCAGAGTTCCTCCTTGGGGACAGGCAGGAGAACCCATCTGAGGTTCAAGTGTAAGAATAGGGGAGGAAAATAAGTCCCCTGAGTTTGTTTCAACAGGGGAGCAAGCTACAGACACTGGGCAGCATCAAAAGCCACCTCCTGTACCCACTAAGGGGATGAACCTTAAGCAGTGGTCCTTCACACACAGTGACATGAAAAGGACAGAAAGAGATGGGGCTGATGGCTGGGAGAAAACACACACACACACACACACAGAGTCTTTTGAGACAGACATATGGAGCAATTTAAACGTTTAAGCTGAGCGAGTACATGTAATTCATATAGTGTGTCTGCATGCATCTGGATGAAGACGCTTCATTCTCGCCTTTTGAGTACACTTTCCAGCAAGTTCCCACCTCCTCCGAGGCTCTGTGGCATGGAGATAAGCCACAGCCCTGGTCTGATTTCTGAAGCCAGGTTCTGAACTTGCATTCTCTAGGCACCCACTGATTTGGCTGACATCCGATGAGCTGAGATGATGATCTGTAAACCTGAGAGTTTTCTCACACCCTTTCCTTTTTTGAAGCCCAATTTCCTCATTAGCGGAGCAGATGATTTCTATTCCCTTCCGCCTCCCTTGCATCATGGGAGTTCAATGTCCAATGCTGAGGGAACTGATCCCCTCCCCCAACCCTGCTTCACAAGCTTGTGTTATTAGCTCACTGGGAGATATTTTTATGTAAATAAAAGCAGTTGAAAATTTGGGAAAGGTATTTTATAAATATTTTGTAAAGTAAGCTTCCTATAGGTCCTAACAGCGATTCAGTTCTTACTGTATTTCCCTGTCATAGTTATTCCTTTCTTAAGAGTATTATTTTAGGACATGGCTATGTATAAGTGACCCTGGGCCCACGGCACATGGCCAGGGTCTCCCATGGCCAGCAGGACAGCCTCACCCACTACGAGACTCACGAGTCTCCAAGGAGGAGCAGCTGAGCGAATGCAGCCTCCCAATCATCGTTGCCGTCTTTTCCTACACTTCATACTCATTCCAGGATCTTTTTGGTTCCCACCACCCACACCCAAGCTCTCCATGATGCTGTTACTTCAGCTAGGAACACACGTAGTAGAGAGAACAGCAAACAGACAAAAATAAACTCTCCTCAAGGCAAATGTCTCCTTTGCTGCGCCAGTGCCTCATGAAAACTGAGCCTGCAGGGATCAAAGGGGGAAGGGTGTCAAGTGCTGAGAAGGGGGAGTCATGTAACAGCTTTCTGCCATCACCCCCATATGGACCAGACCATGCTCCTGGCCCGGAGCAGGGAGAGACAAGCTGGGGTGTGTGTGTGTGTGTGTGTGTGTGATTATGAGTGAAATTAAAGATGCCAAAGAAATCAAAGGTAAGAACTCAAATCCTTATTACTTTGGGGTGGGAGGAAGGGAGACGCGGAGAAGGTGGAGATTATTGGCCCTCTCAACTTCTCTGGTTACCTAGCCTTTCTCAAAATCCACCCTCTGTCCTCCATCCATACAGTCTAGGTCGGGGGTGATTAACAGTTTCATAAAAAATGCTCTTTGAATCATTGTCAAAATGTGTGTAACACAACTATAAATTACAAGTCTGTGTTTTAAAATATTTTTTTTACCATCTTCACTCCTTGAGTTCTGAGGAAACAGTGGGAACCAATTGACAATTATGCTCCACATCAAAAAGCTGCTACTGACCCGAGCATCTCACTGGGATTGAAGAGCCAGGCTTCCTATAAATTATGATGCTTTATTTAAAGTCAGCATGCTTATTTGCTTTGGTGCCAGCTCTGGGCCCTTTTCATCTTTAGCTCACTGGGCCCCGGAGAGCACACATTCCTACAGCTCTGCCGGCCACCAGCTGTGTCCTCTGTAAATCACGAAACCTCTGAAGGAGCTGTTCTTCATAAAGGCCAACAACGCTTACTGCAGATGATCACCCTGCTATTATTCCACTCGGTGAAATTTAAAATAGCAATTTACAGCAGCAGCTGAAATGGAACTGTTTCTCTTCACTCTGTGTGTCTGTGTGTGCATGTGTGAGCATGCACTAGTGTGTGTGCACATGGGTGAGTGGGCGGGATCTGTAGGCAGATGGCAGAGATACATTCTGTGCATCCTGAAAAGCAACAATGCTGGCCCACATGGAAAGGGACAAGGTGTCAGAGACACTTTCCAATGAAGGACAGAAGGGAGGTAAATGAGGTTCATGCCATGAGCCCCTCCCTGTTCTCACCCAGAAGAAGGGCCCTTACCTACTGGGAGCCAGAGGCTGGTGCGTGCAGGGCTCATTTCACAAGGCTACGGAGAAAGCTGGGTGCACTCACCCTAATGAACTTCAGTCTGCGGTCAAACTGGAAGCCTCCCAAGGAAGAAAGAGCAAGGGCGGTGAGCAAACAGAGCACTCTAAATTCCTGCCAACATGGCCCTGAAGAGAGACCCTCATGGTTCATAGCCCTCTGCAGAGCTGAACTAAATCCCTCTGCACCTCCGCTTCCTCAGCCATAAAAATAGGACCAATACGAGTCTGAGACGTGGTATGATCTATGGAAGGTGCTCAGCATGGGCTAAGTAGATGCTCAGCAAATGCACTGTGGCTCTGTTTTGTTGTTTTCTTTTCTTTTTTTATTTTCCTGCTATTGGGAACTGAACCTAGGGAATGTTGAGTTACATATTCGAATCTCTTTATTCTTCATTTTGAGACAAAGTCTCTTCAATTTGCCCAGGCTCAGCTCAAACTTGTAATTCTACCGTTTTAGCCTCTGTAGTGTCTGGGATTACAGATATGCACATATCTGGCAGGTTCCCTCATCTCTTAAACTCGCCTGTAACTCATCTCATAAATCAAAGAATAGGGGAAATGCAAAAATACCAGGAATTGCACAGCAGCAAGTTGTCCTGCGTCCTTTCCAGGTGAAACATCTTTGGATATTTGTACTAATTATCCTCTATTCCTGGTGACCAGATTCTGTATTTTAGAATCTTAAGGGCTGCAAATTTCCGTTAACAACATCCTGTATCATCTCTGGGTATTTCTTCCTTTGACCACAGTGAGGAAAGCTCTCTGGGTCACTGAAAGGTAGGGACACCTAGC